TGAGGTGGAAGGATCGCCGGAGTCCAGCAGGTCGAGGCTGCGGTGGCCAGGAGCGTCCACCGCACTCCAGTCTGGGTGACAGAGTGAGACTCCAACTCAAAAAAAACCCAAAGAAACCCCCCTTTCTTTTAGAGGCAGTTCTGGAACTTCATCTGGTGTGACTGTACCTACATGTGTCTCTGTCTGTTTCCTTGTGCGCTAACTCATCTGTGTTTCCGGGGCTGGCAGGAGAAGAAAAACTTCAAAAGCTAAACTGCTTTCCTGGACAATTTTGGGACTGTCCACGTTTCTATTGCTCTTCTTATTTGGGGTGTCACAGAAAATTGCTGAAACCATTAACTCTGTTCCTAAAACAGCTTGTTTAACTTCTACAAGCCACACCAAGAGAACAGAAAAGCAAACGCTCTGCCATTAAGGAGGGAAATGGAAGGGTCCTGCCACCCTTTGCTCCCCGCGCTTCTGGTCTACAAGAAAAGCAGCTTCACAAAAGGCTAAGAATGTTTTCAGCTCTGTGCAAAGAGAGAGCAAGCATGTAATGCAATTCCAAGTTTTATTTTTATTGATTTACTTTTTCAGCCTGCTGGGTTTGCTCAAAGTTGCTTTTTGCCAAACGTAGAAACAGGGGAGACGTAAGAAAGCCAAGCTTAGGATGTGCCTTGTCAGCAGTGTGGCAGGCCTATCTGAGGTGTCTTGCCTGGAACAGTCACCCTCTTGCAAGATCTGCCCCCTGGGGTCTGGGCAGGCCCTGGGCCCTGCTCCTAAGAGAATGCGGTGGGTGTTGGGATGTCGTGCCCACGGTGATGCCGCATCCCACAAGGCTCCAGCCTGCTCGAAGATCAGCTCTAGATACTTTCTCTCTGGCTGGCTGTGAAGAAGTAGCCCTGCTAGGGGGTCCCCATGGCGAGGAGCTGAGGATGAGCTCAGCCCAAAGCCAGCAGGAAGCCAGGGCCCCCAGGCCTGCGAGTACAAGGAAACGCCTCCTCCTGCAACAACCTGAAGGGACGTAGAGCCCCTTTCCCAGGGGCCTCCAGATGAGAACACACCACGGGCCCAGATCCTGTAGCTAAGCCACGCTGCACTCCTGAGATAAGAAAGGCACATCGTTTTAAGCCACTAAGTTTGTGGTAATTTGCTATGCAGCAATGAAAAAGAATGCAGGCAGGCTCCGAGGATATATCTTAATCCTTTCTTAAACATTTACTGGAAAGGATCATATATTGTTTAGTGGAGAAGTTAAGCTCTAACATTAAATTAGAAATAATCTGTTAAATGTGAGTAGATTTGTCTGAAGAAATCCATCCTTATAAAGACTGTCAAGTAACTCAAGCCGGCAGCGCTGTCCGCTCTGACGCGTACATTTGAGGAGCTGGGGCGGGGCTTCAGTGAAATCAGTGGACAACACTACCAGCAGGTCAGGCTGTTGTCACTGCTCAATATTTTCTTTTGAGCTTAAAGGAGAGGTGACCTCCACCAGTGACACTAGCTGTCCATCAACCAAGGCCATAAATGACTGTGCATATCAGCAGATGCCAACAAAATGCCCAAATGAGCCTATGGCCTTCTTCCTCTGCTAAGGGGCCATAACAAAGGATTTTCCTAAAATGCATGTATGTCCAACTCCCCTTTACTTTCAGTCATCGCTATTAAATGTCCTCTATACCTTTTTTCTTTTTTTGAGTTGGAGACTCACACCATCGCCCAGGCTGGAGTGCAGTGGCACACTCACAGTCACCGCAGCCTTGACCTGCTGTGCACAGGTGATCCTTCCACCTCAGCCTTCCAAGTAGCTAGAGTTACAGGCATGTGCCACCACACCCAGCTAATTTTTTGATTTATCGTAGAGATGAGGTCTTACCATGTTGCTCAGGCTGGTCTCGAGCCCCTGAGCTCAGGCAATCCTCTTGCCTCTGCCTCCCAAAGTGTTAGTATTACAGGCATGAGCCACCGTGCCTGGCCTGCTCTACACCTGTCAACAGCCTTTTTCCAACTGACTCCGGCCAGCAGGGAGACCAGCAGGATGGCGAAGCACCAGCCATGTCTGTCAGTATTAAAATCCATGACTTAGGCCGGGCACAGTGACTTAAGCCTGTAATCCCAGCACTTTGAGAGGCCGAGATGAGAGGACTGCCTGAGCTCAGGGGTTCAAGACCAGCCTGAGCAACAAGGCAAGACCTTGCCTCTACAATTAATCAAAAAATTAGCTGGGCATGGTGGTGCATACCTGTGGTTCTGGGCTAAGGCCAAAAGATCGCCTGAGCCCAGCAGGTCGAGGCTGTGGTGGCTTTGAGCATGCTACTGCACTCCAGCCTGGGTGACCGAGTGAGACTCTGACTCAAAAAAAAAAAAAAAAAAATCCATGACTTAATTGCAGTGGGAACTGACAACTTCCTTTATGACAGAAAAATCATGTATTATACACATATGAGTTTAATGGAAACACTTACTTCTTTGAGAGCAGCTGGGATTTTTTTCTGCTTCCTCCCTGATGGAATACTGTGTAAGACAGAGGATAAGGCACTTGAAGTAGACTTGTGGTTTCCAGGAGCTCCGATCTTGGGGGAGTGCTGCTGGTCTAAAATAAACAGGGCACATATGTAGTCAACGGTAAGCATCCTGCAATTTGACTTCATTCAGATCAACAAACCTTGCTGCATAAAATATCCATGGAAGGAGGCCAGAGAACCTGATGGCACTGATGGCTCCTGGAAAGGATGAGGGGTAGTTGGGAGTGGAGGGTAGGGAAGACTTTCTACTTTTTTTTTTGGAGTCAGGGTCTTACTCTGTTGCCCAGGCTGGAGTAGAGCGACACGATCACAACTCACCACAGCCTCAACCTCCTGGGCTCAGGTGGTCCTTCTGCCTCGGCCTCCTGAGCAGCTGGGACTACGGGTGCGCACCAACATGCCCGGCTAATTTTTTTTTATTTTTTATAGTGAGATGAGGTCTCACTACGTTGTCCAGGCTGGTCTCCAACTCCTGTGCTCAAGTAGTCCTCCTACCTCAGCCTCCCAAAGGAGTGTGAGCCACTGCACCTGGCCTATCTTTGATTTTAAACTGTGAGAGCTTTAAACCATGTGAAAAGATTATTCTTGTGTATCTGTAGAATTCTGAAACGTGACTATATTACCCACTCAAAAAATAAATCCAAAAATCCTTCCCTGCTAACTTAAAAAAGATCCATGGCACTTTTAAGGGTCTAGATACTAAACCAAGTAACATGACAATGGACACAGTGGTCACAAGGGCTACGAGGCACAGACGAGGAAGCAGTGAGCGCGACGGCAGCGGCTCGGGGGAAGCAGCGAAGCCATCGAAGGCTGAAGCTGGCCACTAAGGCCGAGGGGGGAACGCGCCGGGCTAAGAGGAGGAGGAAGAACGTGCCACACAGGGGCCAGCACAGCGCAGGCAGAGAGGCTTAGACTCAGATCGTCTACCTGGGTCCAGGGAGCCTGGACGGCTGTTTAGGCCTTTGCAGCTGGGGAGGGAACGGGCAGATGGAATTTGGAAACATGCACCGGACGCGGCAAGGAGGAGGGAGCTTCCCCAGGAAGGCCTGCCAGGGTGCTACGACGCTGGCCTAGATGAGACCAAGAAGGCCCTGGGCGGGCTGAGGCGAGAAATCAGGACAGGTTCTTAGTGAGGAAGCTGCTAACTAGGTGCAGGTGAAGCGGGAGGAAGGTTCAAAGACGGCAGAGGGAGGAGCACTGTGGTCTTCGTGGTAGTGTGCACAGACAGGAATAAACCATGAATCTGCAAAACAGCACGTCATCCAGTTCCGGTCGCTTAGAAATGCCTCCTTGCTATCGAATGCACTATCGAATACGGTAGAGATACTCGGTACCCAGAGAGATGCGATTTGAATAAACAGCTGTACATGTGAGCTGTTCTTCGTGGGAATGAAAAATGTAGATCCTATAGGATTCAGGAATCCCAAGTAACAGACCTCAGCAGTCCTGCTAAGCTACCTTCACTCTATCTGTGGGATGCCACGAAGAATGACCGGCAGACCTGAAGGATCATTTTGCGTTTCGTCAGAAAGCTGCACATTCAGATGTACAATAAAAGTCTCCATCAGTTCAAGCGTCTAGGCTAACAAAGTGCCACCTTGGACTTTCCAGAGAGAGCTATTTTACAGATGGATAAAAAGAATATGTAGCAAGCACACTGTTCTGTGAAACTAGAAACTTCAAAATTACTTGATAAAGTTCCCTTTTAACCATTTTAAGCTTTTCACCCTGAAATTACATTTCTACAATTACTCTTCTTAGCAAAACCTTTTTCACAGATTTCAAAACAAATTTTAATCCAGCCTCTCATGGAATGACCACAAAGTATGAATTAAGAAAGCTCTTTTTGCAACTTTTGAGATAAGCGTCAACAGTCATACTGTTAATGTACCAAAGAGGACTCTTTCGAAGACTGCTTGAAAGTATCTGGAGAATAAAGGAATTTGGGGTTAAATCTTTACTTATCTATTACCTAATTTCTGCAGTTCTTGGAAACAATGTTCACATACTCTTGCTGGCTGGTTTTTCAGGTAATCTAAGCCACACTTATTGGAAGAACAAGCTTGGCATACGATCTGAAAACACATGGGAAATGTTTCACTGATTTCATCAGAATACCTTTTGTTCCCGAACCATAAAGCATGTTACAACTCCTAGCATCCTCCGCTTTTCCAAACCACTGTGCACTCACTGAATCTCGCTTGATCGCAACACTAGCTCTACGGAGAGCAGGCAGTGATCTGGCGCATAGCACTGCACTTGCAAGACGAAGAGGCCACAGACTAGAACCTACAGGTGCTCGCCCCACGAATACTCCCGCGCGGTGCTCACAGATGCTGCACACTCAGAACTGCACCTGGTGCACAGGGAGGGAGGCCGACCGGCCGGCCGGACTGCACCTCCATCATCAGCATCATCGCTGCAGCAGCGGCACATCCTGCGCCTCTTCCGCGTGCCAGGCTCTGTACTGGATGCTCAACAGCCTGCACGTGACCTTGGGTGCGTCTCTGATGTCACGGTTACTGTGCTCCCCGTCCTCATGAGGGCATGAAGGCTTAGCGACATCACAGGAGTCACTTCAGCACCCAGAGTCCCCATTATCGAATACAGTAGAGATACTCGGTACCCAGAGAGATGCGATTTGAATAAACAGCTGTACATGTGAGGGCCTGCTTAACTGTGGATTTGTGAGTTTTTGAATCAAAGTTATCAATTAGTGACATTCTAAAGTGGGAGGGATGCTCCCTAACAAGACCGCCCAGATATTTAGGGGCAACACCATCACGCTGTCCCCGCCATTATTATTGCCATCTTGCCACTATGGCTTCCAGTGGGAAGCGTGCTTCCCCTCACGGACAGCCGGGAGATGATAAAACCGCAAGGGAGGTGGGTGTCTTGCCGCCAACCTTTCCGCAGGCCCGGCAGTGGTGCCGCCTCCAGGTCAGAGTAAATTCGCTTGTGCAGATCATACACATGGTGGCTCTTGTATCGGGAATCCAGATGGGCGCCTTGGATCCCAGGGGACTGGCTTTCTCTTTCTCTTCAGAGTCTGCCTACAGAAGAAGAGTGACTTCTGGTGATCTCCAAGCACACCAAGGACCGAGCCTGCTCATTCAGCAGTGGTGTCTCAGAGTCACCAAGGACGTACAATGGAACAAGGGCTATTACAGGCTTCCTGTGCTCAGAGTATGACAATCAGCTGCGTTCCAAGAACCCTCGGATACAAAATGAACTCCCAGAGATGCCTGCAGAAGTGGGCAGCAGTGGGTGAGCTTCCTAAACTCTGGTGTGTCTTCTGAGTTCTCTACAATGGAGTTGTAACTAGGAACATATAGGAATGTGCTGTGGCATCACAGACTTGCAGGTGGACATTGATCAAGAATGAACATTCGGTGCTGAGGTTAGACACACGTCTCCAGTCACCCCTGGAAACACGTGGTGCTTTTGAAAACCCCTGCGAAACGTCTCTTTAAGGTGAAAACTTTGAGATGCACTGAAAACACAACAGACACGAAGGAGAAGGCCTACCTGGTCGAGGCTCCTGCTGGGACAGAAGGTGACCCTCTTCTTGGCGTACTCGTCAAGGGACCTGGAAATCGCATCCAGCCACTCGTCCCTCTCTGTGGCAGAGCTGTGGGGTGAGAGAGTTCTGCCAGGCCGAGGCCAGCCTGCTTCCTCCTCCTCCCTCAGCCACAGGCCCGCCCGCCAACCACACTGTCAGAAGCAACAGCTCTGTGGCTTTCGGAACCCCCGTAATTTAGCAAACACCATGGTTTTTCTTTTCAGAAGGTCTGTTTTATATTAAATAGCTCTTGAGGTCTCCTAGATTTGGAAGTATTTTTGTTTGGTCACCTGATGGACAGTCATATCATTAATCATTACAATTGTTTCTTATAACCACGGAGGTTCCCAGGACATAATCCTAGAAATTAAAAAAATTCCAAGAAATCAGCATTCAAATACTGGTTTATAACACAGAATACTCACTATCTTCAGAGTGTTAAATATGACTAGACATTTCTGGAAAGGATAGTGGGGTCAAGTGAGGGAGTGGTCACCAGGGGACTCTCGCTGCTGTCGGGGGTTCTCCCGTCTCGGCAGCCCGCCAGGTGTCCCGTCCTCCCCAGCTCCCCAGGAGACGTCTTTAACTCAGCTCTGGGGGGAACAGGCCAAATGGGGAAGATGCCTGCTCCCCAAAAACTCTGTGTTAATTCCAGTCGTCATCACTGCTATCAGCCTATTTATGAAGCCACTGTTTAAATTTTATTTCACATATTTAAAACTAAAAGGGGAGCCGGGCTTGATAGCTCAGCCTGTGATCCCGCGCTTTGGGAGGCTGAGGTGAGTGGATTGCCTGAGCCCGCGGGTTCGAGACCCGTCTGGGCAACTTGGCGAGACCTCATCTCTACAATAAATCAAAAAAAGACCCGGGCGTGGTAGCGTGCACCTGTGTTCCAGCTACTTGGAAAGCTGAGGCGGAAGGATCACCGGAGCCCAGCGGGTCGAGGCTGCGGTGGCCGGGAGCGGCCACTGCACTCCAGTCTGGGCAACAGAGTGAGACTCCAACTCAAAAAAAAAAAAAAGGCAAAAAAACTAAAAGGGGTATTATAAATAAAAATAAATCTGTACATGCACAGGAGAAAGGGGGGGGGAGAGAGAAAGAGAGATTTTGATAATTAATTTAAAACTCCATAATAAAATCCATCAAAATAGGATTGTGACCATGTAACAAAACGTCTGTATACAAGCATACTGAAGTAGCTAGGAGTCAAATGACCTGGTAAGTGCAATTTGTCTTATGATAGAAGATAGGTCAGGTGTGGTGGTTTACGCCTGTAATCCCAGCACTCTGGGAGGTCAAGGTGGGAGGATCACTTGAGGCCAGAAGTTCAAGGCCAGCCTGGGCAACATAGTGAGACTCCATCTTAGCCAGGTGTGGTGACACATTCCTGTAGTCCCAGTTACTCAGGAGGCTGAGGCAGGAGGATGGCCTGGGCCCCTGGGAGTTCAAGGCTGCAGGAAGCCACGATCATGCCACTCACTCTAGCCTGGAAAACAGCAGGCTCTGTTTCAAAAAAAGAAAAACCAGAAAACAAAAGAATAAAACAGGAAAATGAGTAACAAAATCTTGATGAGTTTTGTGTCTGGGTGGCTGAATATATAATCCCTTGCATCATTCACTCTAATTTTTCGTGTACTTCAACTTTTAAGCAATATTTCTAAAATAAAAAAAACTCCATCCTTGCATGTGCTGCTTTTGCTGAAGCAGCCAGGGCAGGCCAAGAGTCCCCACAGCAGTCTTTCTCCAAAGCGTCCCTCCGCCCCTCCCTCCTCAGTGGCTTGCGTGCCCTTCAGAAGAGTCATTCATGTGGATGTGAAACTGGGGAAAATTTGCAAATGAAACTGCAAAACGGATACAGTTCTCACACTGCCATCCCAAACAAAGAACAGAACACACCCTCGGCCTCGTCCACCTCCACCCTTCTGGCATTCCTGACCCAGCAGCTGCCACAAAACGTTACAACATGCCAGCCAGCCAGCCCGCGGTGCTCAGCACCTGGCGACGGTCGCCGTGTCCTCCTCAGAGCGACGAACAGACCCTGGTCTGGCACTGTCGCCGCAGCATCATCACTGCCCTGCACAGTGACAGACAAGGAGACGGAGGACGCACAGCGCCAGGGGCCTTGTGGCACAGGTGCAAGGCTCCTGAGAGAGGAGCGGGTGTCGGGACGAGGGCGGGGGAGGATGGGGCCCTCCCAGTGCGGCCAGCCTCCGCTCGGTTCTCTGAGGGCCAGGCCCGGGGATGCACAGACGTGCCAGCACGCGTCCCAGAACGGCCTGCCTCTCCTTCCACTTGCCACTGCGAGAAGCAGCAGCACAGCCACCAACAGCCAGCGGGAGAGTGGCAGCGGGACCCTTCCCGGGGCCCAGGTGCTGCAGGACGGCCTTGATGGTGCGAATCGTGTGGCCGGGCTCTTCTCTCGCCTCTCACATGACCGTCCCCGGCTCTCTCCTGTGCGGGTCCCGCCAAGACAGAGTGGACCCGAGCTTGAGGACACGTTCTCCCAGCCACACACACTGGCCTGCAGCATCCAGCGGAGACATTCCAGGTATCCTTTTGGCACACAATTAGCACAAGAATCCACGACTTCCTCAGAAGACCAGCGAAGCCAAGTAGTCTTTTCTTTAAAAATGTGTACACTTCCAGCAAGTGCATTTATGTCAGGTAAGTACCATTTTCCCATTGACTGGGATGAATTACCAACGGCAAATACCCTCCAATAGGAAGGAATTTCCGGCCAGGCATGGTGGCTCACGCCTGTAATCCCAGCACTTTGGGAGGCCGAGGTAGGAGGATTACTTGAGGCCAGGAATTCCAGACCAGCCTAGAAAACACAGCAAGTCCCCATCTCCGTAAAAAAAAAAAAAGGT